TATATCGTTCCAGGAAGGGGTTAAGGGTTAAGTCCAGTGAGGTGCGAGCCCATAGGTCATAATGCAGACAGTAGAAAGAGCAAATATTTCCTCAGTAAAGAAGAAAGAAAAATAAATGCTTCTGGAATGAGAAGTTGCTGCTGAATTTTGCCTCTTTTTTTTTCATCTAAAAAGTAAACTCCATTCACATCCACTGTAGGAATTCAGAGTCTGATGTCTCAAATTAAATCAGTTAAATAAAATAATCAAATACCACTACGATTCTTGCTTCAGTTTTTTTTTCTCACTTTTATACTTTTAGTAATTGAATGTTGCAACATTTTAAATGGATTTGAAGAAGAAAGAAGTTCACCTCTGTGAAGCTCCAAAGGACAATAATAATACATCTTAAGTACACTGCAGTGGAAGACCAAATTCTTTATTTTTATTGTTTAATTATTTTAATTTGCATTGAATTGATGGAAACACTGACAGTCCTGCCATACATAAAAGTGATTTTATGCAGCTAAAGTATCTGCCAGCTTATAGACTGAGTATAACGAGCTGCGTTCTCATTATTAGGCCAGCTGTCTGTTCCCTCATTTTTTACTTAAGTGATTAGACAAGTTCCATTGTTGCTGCAATTCCACTGCTGTAAATATCATTGCACGTAAGCAACAAAACTGAAAAATCACTGCAGTAATCCACTTTATACACCATGTTGTGAGGAAATGATCTTTAGGCTTTTGCTGAAAATAAATATGTCGCAACAGCTCTGATTGTGCAGTATTCATCCGGAACGCGACGGCTTTGCAGAGGCACCTGCAAGAGTGGGCCACAGCCACCTCTGCAATCTCATTGGTCACACCTGTGGCCACGCTGGATCTGATAGGTCAAGTTCATTCACTGAAACTCAAATGTTTCTGTGAAAGCAGCACTAAACAACTGTAACAGCTATGTGTACATCACAGAGAGCACTAAAGACATAAACTGTGCATTTAGTTGACCTGGTTGACACACAGACCTCAAAGTGTTAACAGAAGCTGAAGTTCAGTTTGTTGCCTCCAGCTGTTCCTATGAGTTCTTTTTTTTTTTTTTGGAAAAACCTGCAGCATCAAATAGCAGCAGGATCCATATGTGCAGCTCCGAAACATGAGAAAAAGATGCTCACATTTAAACCTAACACAACCAAGTGGTAGCTTCAATAATTACTTATAGCTATAAATCATCCCAGACACAGAGACAGGATGAATCAGGATCGAAGAGCAAAAGTACACCGTGTACTTTTCTTCACCTCGGACAGTCAAGCTGTTGCACACACAGTCACAGTTTAACAGCTACAGTTAGATCAGTATTTACACAGCTGAATTCTGATCTCCATTAGATCTTGATATTATGTCACTGTAAAAGTTCGATCCATTTACTAAAGTCAAAATATGTTTCTGTCATATCAGATTTTTTCTGTTGCCGTTCAACAGCAGGATATTTACAGCAGTGACGTTTATGTGTGTGGATGGATGCATGACCTCAAAAATCATTTAGGTAGCTACCAACATATAGCAACAGTAAGAATGAAAACACATTTTATTCTATCATTATTATTGACTGTAGTTTGATAAATTAGCATCACACTTGGATATAATTTTCAATACTGAAATCAGAAGTAAAGTGGATGTTTTGCCAGTGGGGGGAATTTATCCCTTCAAATACACGGGAGCATCTCCTGGGCTGTTTTGAACAGTGATAACCAAAATTTTAACTGTGCCTGCGTCAGTCCATACACATCAGATAATTAATAACCTTCACTGCAAAATATGAAACACAGATATGTCAGTATATGATTTTTTAACTCACATATTGACATAGCGTTCACTTAGCCTTTAATTTACAAAAAACAAACCTTTGATATCACATTACCAAAACACATTACTGTCTTCGCTTACAGGTGTCATAGTCAGGTGCTAGTTGTTGGGAGCACTTATGGCCACTAGATGTCTCTGCAGAACACAAGCATGTCCTCTCAGAGAGTTCCATTGTGTTGTGAGTGATCCATATATTATCCAATATCCATCCATCCATTATCTATACACCGCTTTATCCTCACTAGGGTCGCGGGGGGGCTGGAGTCTATCCCAGCTGACTCAGGGACACCATGGACAGGTCACCAGTCTATCACAGGGCTACACTTAGAGACAGACAACCAAGCACACTCACATTCACACCTACGGACAATTTAGAATCACCAATTAACCTCAACATGTTTTTGGACTGTGTGGGAGGAAGCCAGAGAACCCGGAGAGAACCCACGCTGCACGGGGAGAACATGTAAACTCCCGCAGAAAGATTCCGGTGCCCCCACCAGGGACGCGAACCGGCGACCTTCTTGCTGCGAGGCAACAGTGCTACCAACTGCGTATCCAATATCTATTTATAATAAAATATGTATACAAATTCTTCAGTTATTGTGAGTGATGCGGCAAAAAAAAAAATAAAAAATCTGACCTGGTGGCTGTAATCAATATCTATTACTGATTTCTTCTTGCCCTCTTCTATAAAGTGTTGTTTATGTGCCATATAAGTCTCAAGCAGAGCCAAAATAATCAGTTAATATCTACAAGCAGGTTTTGTCTAAATTGTATTTCAGCAAGCAAACAAAGTAATTTAATGGAAACTTCTTGAAAACCTACAGTTAGTACGGTTGAAACTGTGTAAGATCTTGCACACTGAAGCATATTCTACAAGATCATCTAATACCAGCAGAGGAGAGACGACATTGAGGCTCTGCTCTGAGATCACGAATTATCATATGGCTATGATAGCCTGTGAAGTTTGCATGAAGGTGTTTGAATTGGACAGCTGCCGGCAGGTAAACTGTCCCAGCCAGTCAGAGGTACTGACATTTTAGGTCAGAGAGAGGTGAGAGGAGAGAACAGATGGCACTCAGGAGGGGAGACAGAGCTGGTGTAAGACCTGGACGCAGGGCTGGAAAGCTGTAGGCTAAGTAACGGTTAACAACAAAATGTTTCGAACTACATTGAAATAGGTTCGGTATCGGTTTGATTGTAATAAGGAAAAGCTAGCAGGATATGCTATGGTCAGTGGGCCCATGTGTAGAGAACTTATTACACATATAAACACAACAGGCTGTTCCTCTGAATATCATTTATTGTTCAATCTACATCAGTTGGTCCTTGGACAAACTGCCTCCAACCATTTCATAGTTTGTAGGATACATTTATGACCAAAGAACACATTTCACACTGCTACAGATTGACAGAACTGCCATATCGAATGTTAAGATATCTATTTACTGTCATGCTGAGTGTTTTAATCAGTAGTAATGACTTACTGATGCTGTTACTGCTGCTAGTGTGGCTTCTGGCATAATAATGGCATCTATAAGTCCCAGTGGGTGGACGGCATTCCATAGTATCGTCCTTCTATGGTAGGAATTTGTACTGTAATTTACAGTTAGATGAAACTGGGCCTTACATGGTCTGGCCCAGCTTAAAAACAAATAAGACAGTGTAACATGTTAATCCTTTTGTAGAAAAAATCATACGCGTTGATACTTTCACCAATCCCCGTAGCACAATGTCTTACTTGAACCTATTTTTATTAGTTGTGCAGTATTTGAAGATAGTAAACAGCTATGATCGTATAGAGACCTTAATGTATCTACAGCTTTGAATATCCTTTTGGTTATGAGGATTAGCATAGTCGTCCTGTACCTAATAGTATTCCATGATTACATTGTATATATAAAAAAAGATCTCCGCAGAGTGACACTTCTGTACATGTATGGTTTTTTTTGTTTGTTTGTTTGTTTGTTTGTTTTGTACATAGCTGTAATGGTAAGCTTCATTTTCACATTGTCTCACTCTGTCTCTCACCATATTTAATGGAAACTCCTTTTGTAGCTTCACTTTGGCAGTCAAATCCAGTGGTTTTAGACGGAGGACCGAAGGCCTCCGCTGTTCAAACGACTGACTCTCAGCGGAGAGTCATTTCATCCCAAGACCCGCGTTTCCTGCCATGCCCTCAGACGGGCCGTCTTTGTGCAGCATAGTTCCTTTTGTTTTAGTCTTTTGACAGTTTGTTGTTAGTGCTTTCGCAACTAACCAATGTTGTGCTAGTTTGTAGAACCCCTCCTTTTGTTCTGGCTGGTCTGTAAAAGGCCATTTCACAGTTAAGTCCCAAGCAGCAGTCTTGTTCAGGGACGGGGTGAGAGACGCCAGAGGCTCTGAAGGGCCAGTAGTGTTGGTTCGTTCACTCCAGCCAGATGCTAGTCCAGTGGTTCCTGATATTTGCGTACACTCAAATCCGAACTCCTTCTTCCTTGTGCCATATCTGGTTATTTTAAGCTGCAGACTCTCTGTGATCCTTTTCATTAGGAAACACTGTGCTAGCCCATGTAGACCAGCGTTTTGCGGCATGCAGCTAATACGGCTATCTCAGCTATAAAACTGGCTGTTTTGATGTATATATTTCTTGCAGCAGTATTAGACAAAGTACTGTAATGAAAGCTGGAAAGACAAAGTCCATGATGAAAGCTTGTAATATGACACTTGTGAGGCATGTAATACACACATTTAAGCAAGGAGCATCTGACATTAGCTGTATTAGCTACAGTGGCATGTTGTGGTTTTAATAGCTGGCTGGGGTAAAGACCTGTATACGTTGTTGCCCTTCAGGGCCCCCGGACCGACCTTTGACATTAGGGTCATGAGCCATCTCTGGGAGAGGCTTGAACATCCAAAGGCCTTATTCAAAATATGGATGCCAAGATGCAGGTCAATGAGGAAAGAAGAAAAAGTATCCAGCCACGGTCTGCGTTTACTTAAAGTAGTTAAGACTTAGAAGGTTTTCATATGAACAGGCAAAGTTGTCATTTTGTTGAACAAATATTCAGTGGAGGATACATTTTCACTCTTGTAGTCTTTTGCGTTCCCCTCAGCCTTGCTTCCCAGCTTCCTCTCTCCCCCTCTCCCCCGTCGTCCTCCAGCTCCACAGTTTTTCTTTTACAGGCTGTTTTTGTCCGGCAACTCGGCCTCTGGACTACGGGGAAAGTAGACGGTGGCTTTGTGCTCCTCATAACGGTCGATGTGCTTGAGGTGTACCACCATGTGCAGGGCGTAGGCTAAGACGAGGAGCAGGATCAAAGACGTTACCAAGCCCATGAGGATGGCCGGCGTCAGGAAAGTGGCACAGTCACTGGCCGACGCAAACTTGTCTGACTGCACATTGAAGGCCTGGATCTGGAAGCGTGGAGAGAAGGCGGAAAGATGAGATTAGGACTAAAGAGGACAACTGGCTCTTACTGAGCTTATCAAGTGCAGAGACGCTGGGCAGATGAACAGGTTGAGACAGCCCAGCAGATGGCTAAACAGACAGTGTACAGACAGACTGACAGACTGCCAAACAGACGGGAAAACAAACAGAATGACTGACTGACAGCCAAATAGGTAAAACACAAAAAGAACCACACACACACACATGCACACATGTAGAAAACCGGAGGGAGGGGCAGGAGGGGGGGGACTATGATATAACAGTGAATGTGCAGAAATTATTAGAAGAGTTACACAACAAAGGTTGTGCCTCTTGTGCGACAGTGTACCTGGAAATCAGTGAAAGTAATGTGCCAGTTAGCAGATGTGTCAGTGTGGGAGCTGGGCACTAGCAGGGTGTCATATTTGTGCAGGCTGCTGACGTGCTGGCAATGGTAGGATGAAGTGGCAGGAGCGTAGACCTCGCTGGCGTTAAATGTGGCCTCCTGGGTCCAGTTGTAGTGGATGTGAACGCTGTCTAGTGTGAACCAGTTTTGACCAGCTGCCTCATAAAAAGTGTTGGACATCTGAAGCCTGGTGGAGGAGACAGTGCAGTTAGTGACATGCACAGCCCACACATGTGCACTTGTAGGCTATTCTAATGCAATAATAACACAGCTAAACGTGATACATGAAAGGTTCTAGGTAATATTTGTTCACCTGATTACTAGACCTCTCAAGTCCTCCACATCGCCAAACCTTAAGGAGAGCCTGTGGCAGAACAAACACAAATATTTCAGTTTGCTTGTCCGGAAGGTGGGTTGTAAGCACAGATGCGTGAGCTGTTCGAGCAACAATGCACGAAAAACAAAACAAATAACCCTGAACAAAAGTTGCACTGTGACTTACGTAGCTTTTTCCTTGGTGCAGATGGAGCCTTTGGTGTCCACGGGTGTGTTGGGGCTGAACACCCTCTCGGTCAGATCAATAAAGGTGTGGTTTCTGTAGCGGATTGCCAGGCGCTTTGCCTTAAACAGAATGCAGGTCTTTCCGTTGTAAGACACACTCAGTGGACCGTAAGGCCCCATCAGAGACTGGAGCAGCTTCCTCTTACTGTGAGACATCCCAGGCTGATGCCAGTTAAAAGGCTGCAAACGTACAAAAAAAAAAAAAAAGAATTAGACACAAAAGGAATAAAGAAACTGCGGAAAACTTGCAGCCAAAGCATTGGATGCAGCAGTTTTGCATTTTTTGACTACCCTCTTGAGAGCATTTGATTTTTTATTTTTTCATAAGTTGTGCATCATGTCAGGGGCTCGATGTATCCCACAAAAAGGTCTGAAGGTTTAGCTGATCTTGAGTATTTTCAAAATACCATAGTTTGAATGAAGGATGAATTCACTAAATAGTTAAACGATATTGTGTATATATCAAATCATCTTTCATTTTTTTCTCAATTATCTGATGAGCAGGAATAAAAATATATTTGAACTGCTGTTCTGTCAGTCTTTGAGTATATTTAAACAGTGTGGATGAATTATAGATCCTTTTTCAACATTTTCAACAGACAGTTAAATTAGAGCCTCTAGCAGCGCAAAGCCTAAAACAAACGGTGCATCGGTGCACTATTATTCAGTTGCTGAATAATTTATCCCCAGGAAGATTTATTCAAACAGACAAAATGTGTAAAGAGCACTTGTAAACTAGCAAACTTATAGAAATCTCGTCTTGAAATGGAGACAGATCCAGCCACTAAACAGGGATGCAGAAACTATAAAGTTGGGCTATTATATTCCTCAGTATCTACAGCACAACATCACATGTCGACAGCTCTGCTGTGTCTCCATTTTATGCCTCCTTTTTTTTCTTTGAAGTGTGTCGTGATCATAAAATATCAGTTATGTGTAAAGTTCAGTGTTCCAGCCACCACTTGAATCTCAAATGAGGACGGAACAGCCGATAGAAAACAGGAGCTTTCTGAATTTGCATGTAATGGCGGGAGGCTGCAATGGCTGCAGTGTGCAAATAGAAACTGCCCCCTTTAGCTTTTTTAATCTCTTTGCTCAAAGGCTGCATCTCACTGGAAGGCATTTGGGCTTATCAAGCACTAAGTTGTGCTGGTGAAGTTGTAGTCACAGTGGCTATTAAGTGATTTGTTTTTCTGTTTGATTCAGAGTATTTGAGTAGTAATTGGAAATGTGTGACACGGTAACTGAGATGAGGATTTCCAAAACATTAGACAGTATTGACTACAGTAGTTTAGAAAAGCTGCGCATCAGCTGATAATGCATCTGAGTTTTCAGTCACAGTGGCCCTGTGTGTCGGTGGCAAAGATGTTTTACCTCTGGTGAATATGAGACTAACAATATTCCCACATCCAAGGTCATGCAGTGTGGCTGAGTGAGCACGCACTGCTTTGTTTGTGTGCATCCCGGTGTGTTTCAGCGCATGAGTGTTTGTATGTACGCACAAACATAAAAGGGTTGATGGTAGAGATAGTGACGGAGGGGAGAAAGAGGAGAGACTGTACCTGCAGTATTCTCCTGAGAGGGTTTTCATCCTCAGGCGTCAAAAGAACTTCTTCACTTTCTAAGCCGTACTCGCCATCTTGACCTGAAAACATGCAACGCGTATACATTACGGCATCGCGAAAGATTATATCGGTATACATATTAAGCTGATTGCAAATGCTGCATTGCAGATTGCAACATAATCCTAAAAGTTCAGACAATTTCACACACGTTGCACAGACACATAAGCACAAAGAGGCCCAGCATGCACCTCATTGCTCACGCTCATATCTATTTCCAGTTGTTTTGCGTCATCGCACTGACTCATCAGCAGTTTATTTCACAGTTACGGTAGTATTGTTCGGTGTTTACAAATACTGTTCATCCTGTTCCAGAAACATATGGTTTTCAATCACGTACTTTAAAAGAATCATTATTTTTGTGCTTCTGTGCCAAAGCGCCTAAATATAGCCACACATGATCCCACCGAGGTGTATGGATCACACTGGAGCTGCACTTTAAAGTCTGATTGTGTTACAAGGTGGCAAAGATGTCTGAAAGAAATGCATCTGTCAGGTCTATCTACCCGACACGTCAGCGTCAAAATTACCATGGCAGGTTTGATTGAATCAGGCCTCGTGTCACAGCAGATTTGTTACTTACTTGATGTGACTCTTGTTGCTTGTTTGGGGTTTTCTTTGCTGTGGAAAAGACAGAAAACACAAGAAGGTCTTGCGATTACTACATGCAAGAAAAAAATGTTGTATACAGGATGCTTATTTTTTTTTGTACAGAAAAGTTCGCTGTCTACAGCTACAGCGAACACAAGGACAAAAACAGCTGTTCAGGTGAGGATTTATAAAACACTTGAGAGGATTATGAATGAAAAAAAAGAATCTTCAGTACAGTTTAACATGTTTTTAAAGAAATTTTTGTTTATTTTGTCAAAAATGATTTTGCACATTTTTAGAAACCTATGATTCAATATTTAATGCTATCAAATACTATGTGTATAATGTCTGAAAGTGAGCAGAATGCCACAATAAACACACAAACACTGATCAATGTTAAATCAGTTTTGGACACTGAAAGCTTTTAAGCAGTTAAATATTTGTCTTGAAAGTCAGTCCTGTCATGTGGTAACTCAAAGCACATACAATGAAGATGGACTTGAATTTTAAAATAAGAAACATCAGCATGTTCATGATTTCAGAACTTTTCAATGAGTGAGAGGAATTTAAAAGAATTTAAGAATATTTTTGCTTTTTCTATGGGAAAATTATTATTCAAATCAGATTATTTTTATACATCTTTCAACAAGCCTGAGGAGGGGGTTCTTAATTTTGATCTACATACACTTGCACATTTTGCATCATATCATTTATTATTCATTATTTTAACTGCAGCTGTACAAAGTTCAACTGTGCAGACGGATTCTTATCATTTCATAAATCCAGCCTGCGTGTGCCGTGTTTCTTTCAGTAGTGACCAATCTTTGGCGTAGGACTGACCTACATAGTGCACAAGGGGCCGAGGACGAACCATATCCTTTTCCTTCACGTGTCTGCCCTAGCTGTCCTCCGCTCCATCTACCTACAGCTGACATAGCTCGGACTTCTTGAAACTAATCCTGATCCTTTTAACTGTCTAATCAAAGACGTAATGCGGCAATGGGCTTAGTGAGCGGCACTGACATGGCCGGTTCTGCTTGTTGTGATGGTCAGCCCTTTGCTCTGACTGTGTGGTCTTGTCCTGGCCCGTCCTTTGGAATCAGCCGGGCTGTCTCACTAATCTCCACACAATAGCCAGTTATAATGGGCTTGTAAAAGGTAAACCCTAAGACTTATGAGAGTGGATATGACGACTTGCATCATCTGGCGTCGCTTCAGTCTTTTCATGCACTTTGGTCACGAGCGTTACAAGGCGTTTTATGAATCGCAGAACAACAAAAGCAACATCTGTAAAGAGCTTCATCTGTCATTGATGTTACCTTTTCATCTTGAGCTGAAAACTAATTCTATGATCTTGGAGGAAGTTCCTTTTTAGAAGGCTGAAGATGACCTGAATTTTTTTATTTATTTATTTTTTAACTAAATTTGAACACACAAAAGCCAGTCAATAGCTGTGACTACTGTTGTCAGGGACCGCTCATGTTTTGTTTCTCTAAAATTGTAAACACAGCCCTGTTTTCAACAGCTAAGGGATCTTTAAAGAATGGCTCAAACCTACTTTCGGCCACCAATTTTACCCGCTGATGTTATGAGGATTTAAGAAATTCTGTCCAGGGTGGATGGATGATACAATAACGGGACAACTCGAGCGAACAAACGTAAAAAGGAATTTGCAGGTTATGTGTCGATAGCGCTGGAAGTTGCAGCTTTAGGGTGGGTTGCCAGACATATCAACGCCAGCAGCCTGGAGCAGTTATCTACCCGTATGGTGCAGTTTCAACCTGGGCAATATTGTGGAGTTTAGTGCCAGATGGATTAGGATTAGTGGTAAGCACAGGCCAGGTCCATGGGAGCCCAAATATGGAGAGACGCGGGCCCTGAACAAGATGAAGAGATTAAGGCATGATGTCAGAGCCTGCAGCATTCTGGACAGTTCAAGTGTTAATGCAGCTGAACCGACCTCTGGAGTCGTATTTTACTGTACAACTTTGACCACGGACATTGCAGTTTAAGGTTTTTCAGTTAAATATGTAAAGTCATTTTTTCATTAAATGGAATGTGATATCTACTTATCATCACTATTAGATTATTTACTGGACCTTTGTGTATTGAATTAATGATGCTGGACTTAATCTGTTATATTAATATTGTGCTCACGATGACGTTACGGTGGCAACTTTTTTACGGTGGCTTCACTCGGGTGAGCCTTTTTGCAATAAATCAAACGAATTTGAAAGACGGCAGCGGCAGGAAAGACGTCTGTGGAATGAGTAAACGGTCAGCAGGAACGTACTATACTGTCACTCCCCGTGTACAAGCTCTTCGGCCAACACTGCAGCGTGCCAACTTCAACGTCAGCATCATGATTGACTAAATCCAAGGCTCCCTGCGATCAGTGTGTCTGCCCGTGTGTGACCACATGCTGTACTTTGCTAAGAACTCGCTTGGATGTGATGTCCACGTTGACTATTCTGAGTAACAATATGAGAGTTTATGTATATGATGAATCCAAATATTTACATTTTCCCAGGTGAATGCTGGGTAAGCGTGACTGTACACGGAAGCGCTGCCAAAAGCACAACCCCTTTGGCAGCCGCGACTGAAACCTCAGGAGCTCGGTAGATATTTGGGTGCTGCTCACTGATGATATGTGAGACATGATATATAAAGAGGTTTTACAAAAAAAAATGCTCTTGGCATTCTGACTTTCATATCTGATTTATATATTTATGTAAAAAAAAAAAGCTACAGTCAGTGAGCAACAAACACAAGTGAATAAGCACTTCTTCCTGCGCATCTACCCAGGCCTCAGCTGGCTGATGGGGGCCAGAGGAGTCTGTGTGAGTGCTAACCAAAGCCCAGCCGTTTGTTCCTGTGCCAGTTTCGCGAGGTCAGCAACCCAGGACTGCTGCGGCCCCATCATTGGCTCAGCCTGTCACACGGTGCCTGGGTGCTGAACAGGCCCTTTATATAATCAAAGCCATGCCAGAGCCACTCCTTGGCTCACCTCGCTCCCTCCACATATATCCCTAAATATGCGCGCACGCAAGTGTCCACACCTCCGCATTAGATACAGTATGTGGACATCAACGCTGCAAGATTAACCTGAATATATTATGATTTTGTTATGATTGCGGTTATTTTTAGATAAGAGCTTTTAAATATTAACAGCGATGCTACTCGTGGAATCTCAATCAATACGTCTTCGCCGGGCATCCTTATTCAAGCCCACAGACGGATGGCTGATTATCATCCCTCATCTGTGCCTCTGCTGCGCGCTGCTGAGCAGAGAAAAGGTGTGGTGCCTGCTCCCCAAACTTGTAAACAAGTCCTGTTTGCCTCTGTTAACACAAAGGCTGAGCCACTGCACTCAGACACTCTGTAAACCAGCTCATCCCAGGCTCTACGTCAACAGGAACATAAAGTTAGGGAGTGATAGTTAGTTTTAAGTCAAGTACGGGATTTAACCTTTGCCTGTGTGATTCATTTATCTCACTCTAGACTACATTTTGCATTACAAAAACGTGCAAGGTAATTAGATTTTGGTTTCTCAGCCCTAGAATCATTGCCCCTGTGTATATCAATCGTGTATCAGACTATAGTGATGTGTTCTTGTGCTCATATTTCCTTGTATTATGCCTACATGAAATTTCAAACCCAGCTATGATAGTATTTCACAATGTACAGGATGAACTACTTTTGTAGAGTAACGTCAATCTCAGTGGCTATTATATTTTTAAGCATATGTAAAATATATTTTAATTTCAATTCATTCAAAAAACAACTCAATCATTCAGTGAGTTACGGCGTCCCTGATGCAGCAGGAAAACACGTCTTAATCCGGCACTGTGCAGGTGTCGGCCTATTAATAGATTTATTAGTGCAGATTAAGCTTTAGGAGTTTACGAAGATGTCGTCCAAAGCCTTGCTGCACTTTCAGTGTAGCTTTGATTGCAGCTTCAAATTTGACCGTAGGTCAAGTGCTACAGTTGTCTAAGTCCTCCCACCGCTCTGAGATCAAAGGTTTAGGGTTAGAGCGTCTGTGCTGCCAGCCGGACACCATGACTGCACTCAGACAGCTAGCTGCACATATTTATACGTATATTCATTGTATTGATGATTACTTGCTTTTGACTTGTTGCACTGTTTTTGTTTTCTGAATCTGTCTGGTTAGAAAATTAAAAAATACACACATTTTACGAAGGTAAATATTGTGTGAATATTGCTAATATTAGCTGGTGGCCTTTGAGCCTTTCTAATCTTTCTTTGAATAGGGATCACTGATCAATCTTACACCAGATCCAATACTTGACTTTTAATCTGTGTCTGTTTTAAGACATATTAAGTGTTGGCAAAATGACAGACAAACTGTTAAAACTGCTGACAACATACACTTTACTACTATAGGATCTGCACATGTATTTATATTTATGATTACTTGCTTTTGACTTTTTCTCATTCAGATTTCTAAATCTGTCTCTGTGGAAAATACAGTGCAGACAACTTTATGAAGTTAAATAATGAGTGAGCAATGCCAAAATTAGCTGGTGTTGTTTTAACCCTTTAAAATAGGAGGCACTGATCCACCTTCCACTAAAAAAATATTCTTTGATCTTTAATATTTGAATATATCTAGATTAGTTTCTCAGTTCATCTCTTTTAAGATATATTTAAGCACAGGTTAACTGCAAAAAATGACAGATAAACTCTTAAAACTAGCAATTTGTGGCTTTATGATATACTGACTTAAAAAAAAAATCTGTCTTTTATTTTAAAAATTCATATTATTATTATTTTGTAGCCAGAGAACGAGTTCACCTTAACATGGAAGGACAGGATTCTTTTGGTTTGCTGCTGACGTCGATTTAATCTTTATTAACTTGTCAGCAGACAACTTTTCACTGGATAGAGTGAATGATATAATATAATCTGAGTGTGTTGTATCAGGCTCAAGAAACTGGGTCAGACCTGAGTGACTTGAGCAACTGTTGGGTGAAATTTAAAGGCTCAGGTTAGGCGAACACTGGACTTAATCGGTAATTGAATGAAGTTTGATTAAAACGTGGTACTTGCTCTCGTCAGAGTCTTGTGATGAGAAAGCTATATATATATATATATATATGTGGAAAATCAGCATTTTTTTTTCTTTTTAAAAATCGCAAACTGCATGAAAATCTCCTCTCGCAGTAGTTTTCCTCTCATTCATCTGTTCCTGTGCTGTTGATAGTCTCTGCCCAGATGAGCGAAGAGGTCATTTTCAAAATTACAACTCAAGTCTCTTGACCGCTAATCTGTACCCGTATTTGGATCCTTTTCCTTTTTTAGTAGAAATGTATTAAGCTTGGATTGTTTTATAAACATTGCTGCCTTAGAGATGATTGCAGTTATGTAAAAATGAGTGAACTTAGTGAATTTGTTGAATGTATTTAGGAACGTTTGAACTGCAGCTGTTTTCTTTGTCTGCGCTGGCAAAAGTTTAGAGTATTTAGATAACTAATAATAGGGATGTTAAGGCAAAATACAAATCTAATTATGAAATATGTATACTATGTCTAGTGTTTTAATGATGTTGTAAAGCTCTTGGGGTATCAATCTTTATCCTGTCACAATACCACGCTTCATTTAACACAGAAAATCTGGCGTTTACTGATCATTTTCTTCCCATTTAGTTTCCTGCAACCTTAATTCTACCAGCAGTAGCAGCTTCTAACTCACTGCACCTCTCCTTCTACATTTCCAGCCAATTTTATGCACCCTGCAAGGTCTCTGAAAATGAAAATATTGAAGGCTGCTCTTGAAAAGCAGAATCTTAGCGTGTGCCAGATCTGAGGCCGGAGCTGTGCCCGAGGATAGGAGCTGTTATGATGCAGAGTTACGTACAAAGTTTGATCCACGGAATGGGCTCGAACCCCCAGGAGAAATTACTGTGGCCTTTGGCTGTGGTGAAAAGTTGAAATAGGAATCTGTGAAGGGGGGTTTGCAGCACCTAAACTGAGCTGGAATGAGACCAGCCCCATGAGAGCTTGTGCACTGAATTCTAAAACCCAAAGTGATTCGTGCCCCCAGACTTGCAAAACATGTGCGCAGACAAGATTTGTTTGTGCGCGACAGTCATAATCTTTCACTCCTCCAGAACGCATAACAAGGGAAAACCTTTTGAACGACGATTAACGAGCACCGAATCAGAAACTGCAGCACGTTGTGGCTTTTGAAGCATTTTGCGCTATAGAGGATTGCGAGGGCCATCATTGCATGGCATAGTTTCAAGAGCCTTACATGGCTTTGGCACAAAATTACAGGTCTTTGCTGTGATGTCTGTGTAAGCAGGGCAGGAGCTGGTGGCGAGCAGAGGCCCCTGCTGCCTGCTCAGTCATGACACTGTTGTGTTGTGTGAGGGCCCCCAGGTTGGAGCCCTGAATATTTTATCCAGATTTGACCTGCAGGACTGCATGTGCATTATGCAGACATGGCCGGCTAGAATTCCCTTCCCCTCTCTCTCTCTCCCTCTCTCTCTCTCTCTCTCTCAATGACTGCATCAGAAAACAGACCCCAACAGACCATCCCTGATGCATCCTCTCCTCTCCTCCCTGTCCCATCCTTGTTTACCTCCCCATCCATGCTGCTCCCCCCTCTCTCTCTCTCTCTCTCCTCCCCCCTCAGCACCCCCAAATCCTGCAGAGGGGGCCCCCCAGCCCTCACACAGCTCCCTCCTGGCAGACCAGCGCTACTGTACAGAGACAACAGCCCCCATCCGTGATCGATGAGCAGCGTCTGATGCAGTCCCCAAGACCGAGACAAACAAAAGCCTCGCTGCTGTTTCTCCCTGAGACACATCAACGCCTCCTGCGTTCACAATTTGCTCAAGGTGAGATGTGAAGAGGGGAGGAGGGGGGAAAAAGAGGGGGTGCGAATAAAAAGAAAGAACCCTAAGAGAACACATCAGCATCCCCGCATGCATCCTCTCCCCCCACCCACCCCAACCCAACCCCCCACCCCAGCCAACAGAGAGAGGAGGAGAGACAGACAGAGAGGATGGATGGATGCATTTACCTTCTGTCCAGGATTTCAGGCACTTCGTCATAGGTAAGTCCTGGCTGCAAGTCGTCGTCAGTGAAGGAGAGCCCAGGCCGGCTGAGAGCGGACAGCAAGGCGAGGGAGCAGAGGAGGAATGCGTGTGCAGCCATTGAGACAATGAGAGGAGAACTGCCGCTGGTCGAGCGCCGCTTCATAATCTGCTCTTCTAGCAGCGCCTGACTCCCAGCTCCTGTGACTGGCAGCCGGCTCGGCCAATCAGAGGCGAGCAGAGCCGATCAGCGTGCGTCACAGTCCCCCCCCATCTCCCTCACCTCCCCCTACTCCCTCCTCCGTCGTCCTCCCTCCACCTCTCACTCTGCGCTCACCCTCCTCCTACATCCACTCTCCTGTGCGCTCTTTTCTATCTTCCTCCTCTCCTCCTTGCACACATAGCCGCAGGCGAGCCCCAAGTATAGGCAGCGTTCCTTTTTTTTTTTTCTCCCATCTCATCTCATCACACCTCTGCTACCTTACAGATGACAATGCGCATGTGGACATAACACATACTCGCGCGCACACGGTTGCCCACACGCGTTGGCACACGCGCCTCACACACACACGCGCGCGCTCGCTGTCACTGGAGCAGGCTCGCAGACGCACGTTCATTCCTCTGTGGAAAATCACCTGGGAATGTCAAGGTCAGGTTGTGTAGGAGGGAACTGGGAGGATGTTGACATGTCTTTAGGTGGCCGCAGAAGAGGAGGAGAGAAAAAAAAAAAAAAAAAAAAGAGCCATGACTGCATGACCTAGATCTCCAGCGCGCTGCCACAGTAGCAGAATTAATTCACTTGATGTGTTGTTGTGAGCACTGAGAGGGCCCGCGGCTGAGGAAATTGTCCACTGAGGCTGCAAATATGGATGACAGGAGCAGCTGAGCAGCCGTGGGATAAGACGGGGAATAAGGGTCCAACCCCGACGACCCTGACGGCTGATCCCGTTTTCCTCCTCATTATTTGGCCTCCCCCTCCTTCCCCTCTCCTCTTCCCTCCCATGCGTAAGACGCCTGTGGGATCTTGGTGCATCCTCTCCTTATATCTCTTATTCCCATATCCGATGATGTGATGATTTTCAGAGCAGAACGTTTGGAGTGGTTATATAACCTAAAAATGTTGTGACCTACTATCGGGGTAATGATTCACACCAAAAGAGTGACTGCAGAGCAAAAGTGGAGACAAATTCATTCCTTCAGTGAAGCCTCTCTCATTGTGTTAAGGGGGTTCAAACTTCTGCACACACACAGCTCTCAAGCACCTTAGTATGCCTTTGTAATGATGACCCACCTGTGTTGCTGATGCATCTCCAGAAGCAAATAATACAAAGTGCAATGATCCTCTCCAAACCTGACAAAAACAGGAACAAAAGCAACCTTATAAAACACCATCTTTCACCATCTCTGTGTTTTTGCCCAGCCTAAATACTACGGCACCATGTATCCCGATTGCATGTATGTGAGTGACGTGTGCGTAAGGCCGAAGCACTGCCGAGGGTGTGAGGGGTCAGCAGTGTCTCCGAGGCCATACAGTAACAGGAGGTGACTAAAGGCTGCCTCAGCCTTCCACGTCTGCCTGTCGCGGTCACTTCAACGGGCCAGTGTGTCAGTCCACTGGAGGGAAAGTGCAAACTAGACACAGCATGACAACATCGCAGAACATCCCAGAAGACGTCCAGGTGTGACGACTTGAAAAGACGATACTATCCAGTGACGTCTCCTGACATTAGGCTCAACGTGACGTGCTGGATTTCGCCGTTATGCGTGTGTAGTGTGGTTTATCTCCCTATTCCAATGGTCCAAGTATTTGTAAACTCGTGAATGTACAAGTTATGAGAACACGAGCGTAACAAAACACAGAATGCATTTGTGCTAGTAATGATTGCATTTTGTTGAATATCAATTCTATTCCATGGTACTTTTTGTGAGGCTTGGGATTGGCTCTGAGGTGCTCTCTGTCCCCAATTTCATGAGTTTGTGTTCTGCCCTCTCTTGGTGAATCATGCAGCATTTTTTGGATTATGAAACAGATCGAACATACAGAGCTGGGGGTTACTGTCTATTTATAGGTATGATCTCATATCCAACTTTTTAATCCTGCTCTTTATGCCCACAAAGAACACTGAGGCCTGCGAATACACGGGGTGATGTAACAGGTTAGTGCAGTTTTAAATTGCTCCACAGCATGTGCTGATGGTGATATATGACTTTTAATCTATAAGCTAGTACGAGCATCTGATTTCTGCAAACGCTTGAGCTGCAGAAGCATTAATCAAAACGCTAAAACCCATATTCATTAAGAGGCTTCGAGTGTTGTGGGAGGGTAAGTAGTGCATCACGGCAAGCGCTTGAAGTGTATTTATAGTGCGGTGTGTATGGAGCATGAGTGTATGGAACACAGCATTTATGTAATTGCACAAATGTGTTGGGTAAGCTAATCACAGGAAACAGTTTTGATTATGTGTTTTTATTGGTATACATATTTGCTTTCTGTCACAATGCTGTCCGTCGTATTTCGCCGTCTCTGTTGCCTTTTTTACTGACTTTGTTGAAACACACTCACAAAAAATCAATCTTTGATCCTCAAAATAAGATCAGTAAATAAGGCAGCCTCAAATGATGACAGGCATCACCATCCTTATAAATGATGTCATGTATTATCTCATTTGCCATAAATGCATAAACATCCGATCTCTCCAGCAGGATGGTTTCCATCAGTCACATTTACACTTCTCGAAAGTGTGTTGTTTATGACAGAATAATCTCATGATCAAATAAACTCTAATTTTAAAAAAAAATAAAATAAAATCTTACCATGAAATCCCAATCCTGTTTACTGACTTGGCATTCAACTACAATATTTCCAACACTTATGCGAAAATCATCCTTTTTTTTAATATAAAAACTAGCCTATTTATTAAATATAGAACAATCTCCAGGTAAGCACACAGTTTGCTGATTAATCTGCTGAGATTATATAATGTCCTTAAAAGCTTTCAGTGAGTCACTGCTTCATATCATGTAGGATTTGTCCCAGGCAATATGATAAATGGAGGATAATATCTATTTGTAAGCAATCAAATAATTATGTTGTATAAAGCTAAGAAATTAGGCCTTATTGTCTCTCTATGTATTCAGTCAAGACAGGGTTTGTCCAACACTCTTTGTTTAAAATAACATTTCATAATAAACATATATTCCTTCTAGAGAACAATATCCATCCATGAAAACACCATGTAGTTCTTGTTTCTATCAGTCAGTCAATTTGTTCGACTCCTTTAAGCCGGTAGGATCAATCATGTGACACTACGCAGATGAGAAACCCTCCACACAGAGCAATGCGAAGATGTGATTGGCTGAAACCTGTGAATGGCGAACGTTAACGATTAACATTCATGTCACAACACTGCAGTTTCATTCAGTCCTCGGTGTTCCTCTTGGCTGGCGCTATGCCAGACTGTGCCACTTGAGGGTGCTCACGTACAACCCGGCGGCACTCCGTCAACGACGTGGATTTCTTCCATGAGGCACAATGTTAACGTAAGAAATGTGGAGATATGGGTGTAAAGGGATAATAGTCTGGCCTACAATGTAGAAGAAAACACGTCTGCACTACAAGTTCAGAAGTCCGTACATTTAGCTCTATCAGTGACTCAATAAATAAATAAATTAAATAAATACATTCAAATTAGCCTAAGCAATACATTACCTGTTAGTATGATTAAAAAAAAAAACTCCACACCATAAAACTTAGTGTTACAGTATGTCCTTTGAAGCTATGTTTAGTTGTACAGTTGCCCTAGTCAAATAGCAGCAAGAAATCCTATCGACTACGAGTGATCAGATTCAAGTCCCCCCGACACTCTCCCATCACAAAAGCTAAACTAGGATGAACACTAGAAAGGATACATTCAAAATGGCTGACTTTCAAAAAAAAATTAGATGATAACTGATCAACAAAAATGACCTACATGCATGTCCTGATTTGGCATCCCTCAGCATTATTACATTTCACTCCATCACATGCTTCCTGCCGCCTCGTCTCCTTCCCTTTCAAGACACAAAAAGCCTCACTGTAGCCGATGCAGAGGTCACACAGAGAGGCAAATGCTCATTTCTAGTTTTAAAATGCACTGAGGTCTGTCACGATATACTGTTGTCGGGCCTTGAAGCCGACCTAAAACTATGCACAGTGCTTTAATGTCACCATGAACCACTTAAGATATTAAAACACAATCTGAAACCTGCAAATGTGCAGTCGCGTGCCTACAATATTGTCTGTAAGTTTGCCCCCCCTCCCCTCGTATACCTGACTAATCTAAAAGAAAAATAATAAAATCACAGATAATATCAGAAACACAGGTCTATCCATGTATCGAGAGTATAGTCAAACTAGACAACAACTATCATGCCAAGTCTATGTTTATCTGACAGACGTAAAGACAGTCATGATAATATTTCCTCATTTTGTTGTTATGTGGTTGGATACAGAGTTATCTTCCCATATAATTTGATTGTCTATAAACTAAATGTCAGAGAGAGGCACCAGACTGTAAGGAAGGACAAGTAAAACAAAACCGTAAACAAATAAAGAAGTCTCTCTATAGAAATATAAACTCTAGAATTGTCCAATAACTATGGAGTTGGTCAATCATTAATCAATGCACACAAATATAAAATGGCAGTCCTGGAACAAATAAATTTGTTCTGATCCAGGATCAGCTTTATCCTCGCTGCGTTTTATTTTAACTTTTCCCGCGTAGCAGGAGAGGTAAAACTAACCCCAGGTCAGCGTCTAAAAGCAACTATATCAGTCTATAAAATGCGCATAAAAGAGAGAAGGCACAGAAACACAAACCCACCGTGTGGGTGGGGTGGACGGACAGCAGCAGTTTTTCAGGAGCAGATTGGATGAAGCTGCAGGTCTGCTTGCAGCAGATGGTTTGCTTACAACTTGCGATGTCTGTGTGCAGAGGTCTATAGATTCGCTGTCTCACTTTCATCGAGTTTGCTTTGGACCTCTACGTTGATGCAACAGAGGCGCTCGCCGTTCTTCCGGTCTAGTCACGAGCGTGACCGCGTCAGTCACCACAAGGGGTGACTCAGTACTGTTCCTGAGTGCACCCCTGTAGACAAAACTGGCTTCTTGGTTTGATCCATTGCATAACTATCCCTAAACCTGCACTGAGCACAAAAAGCTGCTGTATTTAAAGTCCCACAACAGAACAGATCTCCGTTGCTTTCCTCCTTTTTGTCTTGTAGATCAAAATGAAGGTGGAAGCCAATTTATGCTACAGATGTGATGCAGCCCTTTTTGAATAAACACCTCGCCTTATTTCATCACTCCTGTTTTCTCCTGTGTTGTTTGATTTGATCTCTTTGACTGAGCATGTTCTGTCTTTTCTCTGACCGGCTTGGCCACAGTCATATTTGTTGCCACAGCCCCCTCTTGCCTCTTTTCCTGTCTGGCTATACCTCCGTTCTTGCTGGTGCTACGTTGGTGGACAGGGGTTGTCGCTTTCACAGGAATGGGGGGAACTTTACCCGGCGGCAGACGAGGGTCTTCTCCGATGTTGACGGTGAGGTTGGTGTAGAGCGGCTCCAGCTCTTTGGAGAGCAGCTCATAGGTCAAGGAGTTAAGGCCGTCAGAGCGCCAGTTGAGTCTGGTCCGTTTGAGAAGGTCAAATCTAGAATGACAAAACACAGTATCAGTCGGTGTGTGTCTGTGTGTGTTTCAAGGTCAAACCTTACAGGAATACTGTAGCGCCACATTTGAGTTACATCACCGGTTACATTTGCTCAGTAGGTATGAAGCTGGAGACATGACCTTAGCTTAGCATCATGATAGGAGAAGAGTGGCATTAATTTTCTCATCTAGCTGTCTGCAAGAAAGTCAATAAACATATTTTATATTTCAAATAACTCCTTTAACAGTGTTACATGAAAAGACCTTTCCATAGAAGTTCATGAACGCATTAAAACAAGGTTAGTCTTAGCTATGTCTGAGGTAGTAGGAACTGTCAGCAACACAGAATGAGTCGACAAAGTAACAACACTCCTATTAGTGTAAAAACTCAGCATGCAAAGATTTAAAGACAAGACGAGATAATTATGTCAGAAGAAGTCAGGAGAGTGGTAAAAGGTTTGCCAAAACTAGATGCAATTATTTTTAAAATGTGCCTACATTATATTTACAATATAGCCAGAGCAAGCAAGCTACAGACATTACAGCTTTTAAATGCTATTACTTCCAAAACTACTACTTAATAAACATACTCTCTTACATACCCTGAGTACATCTACTGTAGCCATGCAAATAATTTGGCTTTTATTTGACCAAGTCGATCAGGTAAAGTGGTGCACTATCAAATACAAATTTCTTTTAATCTAAAGTGTATTGGGCCAAAATAATAGATCTCAGAGACACATATCTCTCAACCCTGGTAAATAAAACACATGAAAAGACCTTTTCATAGAAGTTCATAAAGACATTAGAACACGGTTGGTTTTAATTATGTCAAAGATTTCATGAAAAATATGAACACAGTGCCTGAGGCAGTAAAGACTGTTGGCAGCATAGAATAAGCAGGAAAACCTGCACAAATCAGTCCATGAACAAAGAAACAATAACACTGTTACTGTAAAAATTCAAAACACAAAGATTTGAAGAAAAGACAGGATACAATTCTGTCAGGAGAAGTCAGGAGAGTGGCACCAAGTTTGCTAATGCTAAATGTGATTTTGTTGTTTACAGATATACTCCCCAAAAGGGACAGAGCCACCAGAAAATCAGATCAAGGGCTAAAAATGCCCTTAAAATTGTTTGTGTGTTTGTGGGTGTGTCCATGTGCACCTTCGTGGATTTTGCTCGTTGCCTCTGTCTCCTTTATGCTTGATCATCTTGTAATGGCCGATGGCCACTGGAGGGCGCACGATCTTCATGCCAGACAGTCGCACTCTGTACAGGAAGTACGAAACAGGAGTCAAAAGAAACAGCAGATCCTCAAACATATATTCTCAAGCACGAAGCTGGAAAACTCATCTCAAAGTCACAAACCTGCTAAACTATTCATGTTACTCACACGAATAACACTACTTAGTCTAAGTGCATCTAGCCTCTTGGGGCTACATTTAAAAATAGAAAAAATAAAGAAAACAAGCAGAGTAAGAAAAGAATAGTGGGTGAAAACATACTTTTATGGTCTATAGGCGGTGGAAAACACTGTGGTTCTCTTTTTCCGTCTCTTGCTTGCGCACCACTCCAGTTATCTGAGTCAATCAAAACACGGTGTAACTAATGTTGTGAATGTCCCGGATATGATATGTTTTAATCTGCAGACATCATGCACAAAAGGCAGAGTGTTACAAAAGTACGGTGGAGATGTTTGTGTATTTCTTTTGATAATTAGTGCAAGCTTTATTTTTTTTTTTTTCATTTTTAATATTCTTGTTGCATTCAGTGCCTGTCATAACAGTTTGGCAAATGCTAGAAGAGCCAGGGAGTGGAGAGAGGGGAGCGCAGCATAGACAGGAGAAGAGTCTGAAAACTGCTTAAAAACTCTTAAGCACACAGCCCGCTCCGAATCTGCAAGCTAGTCCATGCAAACGTACCCGCCGAGCCCACTCCAAGAGACATAAAGCAAAGCCACAGCGATGGGAGGAGGCATGAAGATGAAAGATGATGTTAGAAGACATAAAATTAAAGTCAAAGAAAAGGAAAACATGTGGTACTGAAACTGTAAACATGATATAAAAAAAAAAGATGAATGAGTAGAACAAAAGAAGAAGAGAGAGGCTGAAATGGCTGAACTTGTAGCTGTGATGCTGAGTAATCATGCACATCCCACATGTCAACATGCACAGTTTACAGTTCTTTCCATCATCATGCAGGGCGTGGACCTCTCGCCCTTTCACCCACTGTACCTGGCAGCAATGTCATCATCCTCTCCGCCCCAGCCCCAGTACTGGTTAGGGAAGCCATTCATCTTCATGTACTGGTCTGGGGTCACTGCAGACACCCCACCGAAATACTGCGGGTACGGCAGCCTGGGAGGGTCACATCATGAACAATCTTTAAAAATAGCGTCTCATGGCATTAACACATCGACGCACAGGTCCGCTCGTTGCCTCTACCTGTATCTGAACTTGTCCATGGCCACAGACAGGTGTGTGGGGAACTGTTTGTGGCAGGTGTAGGTGTTGTGGTCGTTCTCAGGCAGCAGGTCGACGTCGTGCAGGAAGATGCAGCTCCAGTCTTCGTCTCTGAGGGCCTCCCGCACACCGACGTTCAGCAGCTTGGCTCGGTTGAAAGTGCCATTCCCCCACTGAGGCGAGGAAAAGAGGCAGATGAATGTATTTGCGAGTGAATGTAGTAAAACGAAAGCAAACACTAAATGTGGTGAGTTTTGGCTCATGACAAAGAACTGATAGATGAGTCCACCTTGTTGAGGTATATTATTCCATAGCAACAGAGGACACTGTTGGCAAAGTGTGATAAATAACGCAGTCAAAGTTAGCCCACATCTTTTAGAAAGGCACGCAATTTTGAATGTATGTTACAAAGATAACAATAATCTCCACCTATGTTACCAATATTATTCATTTACAATATAGCACATAAAGAGAGCTACAGACATCATAACCTATAAAGGCCCTTATCTACAATAATCATTTTTGAATATGTAGGTGACACAAATTCAATCCAAAAAACATGTTTTCTCACAAACCCCATGTGGCATCTACTGTAGCCGTGCAAATATTCTGAGTTTCATCTGATCAGGTCTAAAGCTGTGGCCAACCAAATCCCTTTAATCTGCACTATTTAAAGTTTACAAAGATTTGGTTTATCTGATGACTGACCCTTTAAATTAGAGGTTTAAGTCACTTACAATCTTTTGTACAGCAGTTCTCTAATATACTGGCCATAACCTGGTGGTGACAGACGTGTTCAGGGGCTTTAATTAAGTATAGGTAACAACACCATGGTGTTAAAACAAAGGCTATGCATTTAAAATATTACTTCTCTCAAAATACTTGGTGTCAAAAGTGAAAGTACTAATTATGCAAAGCCTTCCTTGTCTGAATTTGTACATATTCTAAATTTGTAACTGATAATGCTTTGAAGTGTTTGTAACATTGCAATGTTGTCACTGTTATACTTCTTATACTGTTTAGTAGTTTGTTCAATAAAACTGCATCGCATTTTATAAAGTGATCAGATATTGTGCGTGTAAAATTTGCCACTTGTCCATTTTTTTAAATAAAACATATTTCTTCTCAGGATAGTTTGAACTTGGTGCAACAGTGCTGGATCAATAATCTTTTCATTTCTATTAGGGTTAGCAAATTGTAGCACACAGAGTTTGATGAGAGTTTGAGGCTGATTAGATCTGACTAGAGGCCTAATAAGGCAGAATATGTGACTGCATCCATGTAGGTGTGCACAAATCTGTCATTTTCACTAGTTGCAGTGAAATGTGCAATATTTCTTTCTTAAATGTAAACTCGGAGTGTAACGTTACATAACATAACTCAAGAAAAAGCACCTTGAAACTGTACTTAAATACAGTACTTGAGTAAATATACTTATTTTTCATAATGTCAGCATTGCACAATGATACTACACAGGTGTTACAACCATTAGCAAGAATCCATTACTACACAGTAAAACACTGATAATGCACCAGCAAAGCCCACCCTTGGACTCCAATATCACAAGATTAACACACTAATTGTGTGGCAGCATCATATCAACACAACTGCTAAACCATTAACGCTAGTTTTATATGATGTTACCAGTAAACTGTGAATGTAACTCTGCAGCAATATTCCAGCATTACACCATTGTTGCACCACGATTGCACTAGAAATATACCAACATTACAGCTGCACGCTTTATGCTTTTGCTCACGGAGGACAAACAGTGCAAGCTGTTAACTGCCACACTGAAAAACACTGACAATATAATTATAAGGCAGTCTGTTACACTAACAGTCACCCATAACCTGACCTGCTGTACTATGTAGATGCTGTAGTGGATCTGCTGTCTCTGCAGGAAGGGGTGGAGGTGGTAAAGCAGGGCGCGGAGGTGGGTCTGTCGGTTCCGGTACGGTACCACTATTGCCGTGTGGTGACGGGGTTCACAGTCTGGAGGCCTGTAGCGTCCCCCCGGCAACACTAACGGGTTCCTCTGTCTGATCTCCTCCAGAGACAGAGGGGAGGATAGATGGACGGACACGGGTCCAACTAGAGGACGGAAAGGAGAAAAGCTTTAAAGTGTCTGGCTTGTGTGTTACAGACAGCTCAGCAGCAACTTTCACTGTGCCCTTCACTGTCTAATCTTGTGGTATTTTTACCAACATATACTCAACAGCCCTTTCTCTTACCCAGCAGTGGGGAGGGGATCTGACAGTCTCTCAACGGTGGTCCTGTGGCAGGGGGTCCTGTGCCAGAGTTGCGAGGCGGGGGAGGCGGCGCTCCCAGATGACTCAGATTGGTGTAGACGTCATGAGGTCGAGAGTAATCAAACTCGGGCTCTGTGGTGTGCACCAGCACAGAAACGAGACCCCTGAAGCCCCCAAGGGAGAAGTAGAGCACAAAGGCAAACTGGAAGCCGACCAGCAACGCGAGAGTGCACGGGGAGTCCAGAGAGCGGCCACAGCTCGCCATAGTGAAGCAGAGGGCTGTAGAGAGGAGGTGAAAATCCAGGTGGGGGGAAACCGGATGGAGGGACGGGAGGAGAAACGAGGAGCGGAAAGCAAGTGGCTGCTGGATGAGGAGGAAGAAAATGGAGGAGGAGGTATGAAATGAGCAAGGAGAGGCAGAAGGAGAGGAGGGGAAGGAGGCAGCACTACGTGCAGGTTCAGGCGTGCAGGAGGCGGGCATCCATCTGTAGTAATGGGTAGTGATGAAGCTCAGTCAGCACTGCCATTACCTCCTGACCTCACTGACAAGAGACACAAAAGCAGAATTAGTTTAATAAAAATCACTGCTTGTTTTTTATTATCGCTGCATGACATCCGTCCAGATACCTGGTTTTATGAGGGTCTAATTACAACCTATCCTGGACCAGGAAGGGCTCGCTCCACTTTTCTCCTCCTCTTCCTCCTTTCATCATCAAGCTGTCTGTAGGGAAGAAGAATAAATAAAAGACCTGTGTGAACAATGCAGCAGCAGAACTCTTTCAGTTTGCAGTCTACTCTCAGCTAAAATAAGCCGGCAATGACAAGCAGCTACAAACAAATGTCATGTTTGCTGCTTTATTTAGAATGGCTTACTTTCACAGCACTGGCATTTCTATGGGCCGCATATGGAAGCTGATGCCTGCGGATCAAATTAATCCAACATCACAGTTCTCTGTTTTGTCCAAACAATTACATGCCGTAGCAAGCCGTGCGCAAGTGGCTTCATCACTGGGGGAAGATGCTGAATCTCCTGAGACAAGCAACAAGAACGCACGACTGGCAAAATGAAAAGATGAAGGCAGAGGAGGAGACAGCGCCACTGATAGCCCTCCATTCAGGTGATTAGCCTATCAGCCTCCATCGTTAGGCCTTTTGCAGGAAATCATGTGCGGTATTTACATGACCAAAAGCAAAGCAAATGTGTCAGTAACGTTCATTACGCAGCGTTGGTGGCCGCATGAGCTCTCCTCTCGCCCTCAAACACTGCTTCCTAAGTCACCGGCTTTCACTCTAGGCTTCATGCAGCTGCAGACTCACCAGTGCATCCCTGCGATGTGTCAAATCCAGCCCCCGGCTTCCTCCGAGGATCGACGGGCCGCTGCCACCGAGCGGACGCGACGGACCAAAAGATAGCGGTTCTTTTTTTTTTTTTCTTCTATTTTTTTTCTTACTGATGTTGGTCGCTCCTCCTCCTCCTCCTCCTCCTAATCTCTCGTCCGAAGGGAAATCTCTCAGTAGCTGTTTAGAGACCGCTGCAGACGCTTTCACACGCAAGTGCATCGCCGCATATTCGCCTGGTGTCAACACTGGCGAGTGCGCTCTGCCTCATCGGAACACGGCCGAGGCGCACCGCGGTGACGCACAGAGCGGCACATTTGAAAACGAGAGGAAATCGTGCTTTTTTTTTGCCGCTGATGGTTGATGGATGCATGCCAAAATAGCTGACCCAATAAAAAAGATTGTTTCTGAATCGAGCTGGACGTAAATTCAGTTCAGAGTGAGTGTGGACGCTGATTGGTCCATCACACAAGGGGCATCAACATCCAGCAGAATTTAACATCACAAAAAACAAAAACTGCTTAAGTTGAATCAAAATGTCTATTAAAATTATGACAATAAGTCTGCAATCTGAATCATTCATGTTTGTTTTTTTGGTGATATGATGATGCCTTTCTTGTTTTCTGGCAGCTGCACAGTGACTATGTTTAGGATACATGCATTAAACAAACTGCATAAAATGTGGTAATTAGTGATCTTAACCCTGTTCAGGACTTTCATGTTGCCATACATAGAAGGTCTTTCAGGATCCATTGGACCCCAAGAAAGAATATGTGCAAAATATATTTGTTGGTATTCAATATACACTTTTTCCATCCATCCATCCATTATCTATACACCACTTAATCCTCACTAGGGTCATGGGGGGGCTGGAGTCTATCCCAGCTGACTTCGGGTGAAGGCAGGGGACACCCTGGACAGGTCACCAGTCTATCACAGGGCTACACTTAGAGACAGACAACCAAGCACACTCACATTCACACCTACGGACAATTTAGAATCACCAGTTAACCTCAACATGTTTTTGGACTGTGGGAGGAAGCCGGAGAACCCGGAGAGAACCCACACTGCACGGGGAGAACATGGAGACTCCACGCAGAAAGATTCCGGTGCCCCCACCTGGACACGAACCGGCAACCTTCTTGCTGCGAGGCAACAGTGCTACCCACTGCACCACCTTGCAGCCCCTATACACTTTTTTACTATGCTAAATACATGTATTTTTGGTTCCATATTTATGACAAATGTCCCTCTTTTTATATTTTAAAAAAATCTTTAAAAAAAAAAACAATACCTGTCACCTAAACCAAATGGCCTGGGGTCCAAAAGACCCCCAGAGTCCTGAATAGGGTTACATGTACACAGAGGAGCTTTCTGTATTTTCTGTATCACCCTCCTCCTCTTCTTCCCACCCAGTGGTTTTGTGTGTGTGTGTGTGTTCATCTGTGCAGAGGGTGGCACCACAAAGAAAAAGAAAAAGAAAAGGTCTGGTAAAAGCCCTGAAATTGTGGGTTCAAACTGGTTAAAGGAACTTACAGTAGAATTGTGGGAATGTGGCAACCAGTCAAGACGTTTGTTGTGGCTTCAACGATTCCAGCACAGAAAAACACTTCAAACCACAAAACACCACTTCAAACAAAACAAACCAAAAAAAAGCTCAGTAAGAAACAGATTTGACTTTTTCAATGAATTAAATGAAAGCTATCTGTTTAGCTGAGATGTCACCTGATGCTGTCTTTATTTTCCCTTCATAGATCAGATGAAATGTTCATATTGAGAGTAATTCATATATTAAAACAGGTGATAAAGTCTTCAGGCCAATATTATATTCTGTCATATTTGACGATAAGACATCCTATCCACAGTATTAGTTTCGCTCGCTCATGCTACATTTTTCAACTGAATCCCACCAATGTGCACAAATCTTTGCTGTCATAATGTATGGAAAGAATGTTCAAGTTTGGAGTTTATTCAAAACTTATCTGCTTAGGCTTTATAAAAACCAAAACTCTTTACAAAGTTTAGAATTCATTCATCAAATATTTTCCATTTTTGGTATTTTTTTTTCTTTATTTCTCACACAACATCCAACCCACGGGCATCAGTTGTTCTCTACTTTAATGCAGCAGGCTAAAAAAAAAAAAAAAAAAAAAAGAGTCTTTATTCACATGCAGCAGTAGGATGTCAGATTACAGAACAAGAGACAGGACGTAATACTTATGGCTAAAGTAGTTGCATGTGGTCTACCAATGTAAACAAGGCTAACCCCTCAGTAACCCTGAAGCAGATAAAGCATAACAGAAGAAAAAAAAATAAAACTGTGCAAAACAATGCATCAACACTACTATCGTTTGTAGCACTATGTGAACACACTGCCTTCATTTTCTCAAAGCAAAGCGGATGTGTGTTTTCTCTATCTGGGGTTTACCCCCACTACCTCAATGTCCCCATAAGGAATACTGTATTAAGGTATCGCTCAGATAGCATAATATTTAGTGAAGACACAGAAAAGACTCCTTACATAGGCAGGCTCGTGGATCAGTTGAATAAGAAAATATGTTCAGCTCTGATAAAGAAAATTTAAAGAGCAACCTTTTGCCCTTTTGATCAATCAAGGTTCTTTCATTTTGGGGCATTTTTTTGTGTCTCATGGTGGAAAATAGGCCCAAATCTGTGACTACTTGTTTCTAAATACAGTATAATTATTCACAAAGGGCCACATGGCTTCAGATTGGTGAAATAGGGACGATGTGATGTATTAACCAAATCAACACACACAGAAAGTCAAATAGAGCACCTTATACACATATATGTATATATATATAAATCTATAATGCATTGCTTTTCTAATTTTTTACTCATAATCTTAACAAAAATGTTAACAGAAGAAGAACAACCTCTATCACAATAAGAACTATTGTCAAAAAATATGGAATGAAATGCTTCACAATTTTTCAGTATTCATTTGTCATCGATGTAGGCTTGGGGGGCGCAAAAAAAACAAAAAAAACATTCTTCTCAGACATTCTCCTCTTTTTCATCTGTTCCAAATGGCAAAACTGTGAAAACCTCAAATTCAAAAATGCAAAAAAAGAAAAAAAAAGAAGAAATGCAGACGCAGTGCTGCAAGCGTTTTGCTTTCCACTCCCTTCAAGTTATGGGATTGTGTTTTTCACTTTGCTTTCTATTTCATCAGTTTGTTGCCCATCTTCTCCATCGCTTGTACTCCTCTTTACAAAAAAAATGATAATAATAATAACATTTACTATCTCAGATATGAACTCCCTTCACTCCATCTCTCAAGTTTTATTCATTGTTTAAATTATCTGCTCCTCCCTCTTTCCTCCACCACCTTCCCCTCACCCTCTCCATCGCTCAACATCTTCATGTTTTTATTTTATTTTTTGTAGTTGCCAAACTGAATAGCGAGCCGGTCGCTGACGCAGCGGAACGTTGCGGGCTGCACCTCCCAGTATTTGACAGGGTTAGCAAACAGGCTGATGCCATTATAGAAAGTCCTCTTCATCCCAAATCCCCGAGGGCAGAAGTCATCGACGCCCACCTGGCTGATGCTGTTGGAATGGAGGTAAACCACCTAAAAAAGCAGGAGTGCCAGAGGAGAGGGTAAGGAGAGCGTCGTGTGAAACACTCAGGAGCAGATGGCCAAAAGAAATTGCTTGCACGCAGCAGGCTCACCTGTAGGTATTTCATATCTGGGAGGCCTCCGGGAACACGAGTGAGGCGGTTGTTGTCCAGATGCAGCTCTCTCAGCCTGGGCAGGTAGGACAGACTGCCGTTCTCTATGTTACGGATGTGGTTGAAGCCAAGGCCCAACCTGGGAAAAGCAAGAAAAACAGTAAATGGGCAGAAAACGGGGCATGGTACATTTAGCCTAAGTGTTTAACTAGAGTGAGTCAGAGTAATTGCAGATTCCCTGATTATTATCAGTGCAAGAAAGTTATATTAAGCTAAGTGAGAATTAGAGATATGAAAACCTAACATAACCCCTGTGACCATAAAAGATGCCATTAGAGAGAAGTGTGCGGCAGGAGGTGAAAGAAAAGTGGATTGAGATGAGAACGTTTTGTTAAAACACTTAAGGAAACATTTAAAATTCATATATGACATTTGTAAAAGACAGGAGCTATTGTTCATGGAACACTAATGCTCCTGGATTCATCAAAATTTTGGTTGTGAAAAAGCCCCATAAAGATACTTGTTAGGAAAATTTCACCTATCCCACATTAGAGGAGAAGGATCGGTATGTTGACTGCGCCTAGAAAGCGTACATGAGAGTAAAGCATAACCGTTTTCCTGCCACTATTAAGCAGCATGTCAATGTAGTTTGTACTATTACCCCTAAGGGGCACTACCGACTTTAAATGTAATTCCTTACAGATATGCAAACAAAACCAACAGGGTCCAAGAACTCAGAGACGGTTAGACATGAGTGTGGTGTTTAAGTGTGAAGGACACCTGTGAACGTTTTTGTAGCGGCTCAGGTCCTCCAGCTCCACGGCCTGGATCTGGTTGTGGTCCAGATGAAGCTCGCTGAGACTCTCTGGGAGATCTAAAAGGCAGACACCATTAGTCTTCATTTAAAGGGTGTGATTTGATTTTGTCCCTGCAGCCGTCCGTTCCTGTTTGTATTTGTAGTTGAGTTAGTACTCAGCAAGTACCTCAAAAGGGGTATGACATTTTGTGAAATGCACTTTCTTAGAGATAAGAAGATTGATATCACTCTTGTGTCTGTCAATAAATAAATATGTTAAATATGTACCTATGCAGTACCTGGCAGCTAATTAATGCACCTCAACACAAAGACAGCAAAAAGGGGAAACAGGGAAACCCCTTAAAATCACTGATTCCCACATTTTATGCAGTTTGTTTAATGCATGCAAAAATCAGAGCATAAAAATAGTAATTTGTAGTTTTAAATGGGTCCTAAATATCGTCTCTGTGCAGCTGCCAGAAAACAAGAAAGGCATCATTGTACATATTAAGCAAACAAGATAGAAGGTGTTGATAAGTGAATGTTTCTGGGCTTTGTCTAAGCTAATGAGCTGCTGGCTTTATTTATAGCATCCTCATCTGAAGGAGTAATCATGTTACACAAAATACTGAACTGTTCCTTTAAACAGTCTAACACAGTGGAATGCCTCTCTTGCACATTTTAGCAACAGAGATGAGTTGTTACCTTTTGGCACCCCGGTTAGCTTGGCCTCTGATATACG